TGGCGCTGGTGAGGGTGGTGCTGGTGGCGAGGGCACCCAGGCTGCTGCTGCTGCTGCTGGTCTTGCTGCTGCTGCTGCTGCTGCTGCTGCTGCTGCTGCTGGGACGACTGGGGGCAGCGAGGGAGGATGGGACACACACGAAAAATTTGCAGTTGGTAGAAACCCCCGAAGGGGGACTGCTGCTGCTTTCGCTGCTGCTGCAGCAGCTCGTGCTGCGGTCTTCTGCTGCTGCTGCTGCAGCTGCAGCAGCGCAGAAGGGATACGGAAGGAGGCACTAGAAAGAGGCAGCATCGTCTTGCTGCTGCGGCTGCTGCTGCTGCTGCTGCTATTTCTGTGAGAGCTGCCAGAGCTGCTGTAGTCCCTTCTGCTGCTGCAGCTCCCCCTGTGGTGTTCTTGGCACTGCTGCTGCTGCTGCTGCTGCTGCTGCTGCAGCACAGCTGCTGCTACGGCTGCTGGCGCCGCCGACAGTGTGCTGAGCCCACACCTCGCAGCGGCAGCAGCAGCTGCAGCAGCAAAGTGCTTTGTGAAATATTCTGTTAGCCCCGGAATCACAATATTCTGTCACTTGCTGCAGCAGCAGCAGCGGCAACTGCTGCTGCTGCTGCTGCTGCTGAAGCCCTGCATGCGGCAGCCTCTGTGCATGAACTTCTTCTACAAAATTAATTTTCTTCTTTTGTGAAAATTAAATAAAATTAATTATTAACAACAGGAAGACTTGAGGCCTATGGACAGCTGGGGTGGAGGCCCGAAGGCTCGACTTGTTGCGCTGCTGGCTCAAACCCTAAACCCTAAACCCTAAACCCTAAACCCTAAACCCTAAACCCTAGCTTCTTCTACCGCCATTCGAGCTTGTTCCAAAGGGTTTGCCGCTGTTTTCTGGAGGTTCAGCTGCAGACACCGCGGCTGCGCTGGAGTCGGATTTGCAGCAGCAGCAACTGCAGCAGCAACTGCAGCAGCAACTGCAGCAGTAACTGCAGCAGCAACTGCAGCAGCAACTGCAGCAGCAGCAGCGGCAGCAGCAGCGGAAGACGCACAGAAGACTGCAGCAGCAGCAGCAAGGAGTAGCAGGGCCGACTTAAAGAGCCCCTTCAGAAACGCAGAGAGAAGTTGCAGCAGCAGCGGAGCAGTAGCTGCAGCAGTAACAGCAGCAGCGGCGCAGCAGCTGCAGCAGGCATAGCAGCAGCAGCCACAGCAGCAAAGCAGCAGCAGCAACGCAGCAGCAGCAGAGCAGGAATCTCATTAGCGACAGCAGCAGCCACATACGGAGAGGTTGCCGAAGCGCCATGCAGGCTAAGGAGGAGCCAGCAGCAGCAGCAGCAGCTGACAGTGCTGCTGTTGCTGCTGCTGCTGCTGGCTTCTCCGCAGCAGCAGCAACAACCCAGGGCGCAGCTGCTTCTGAACTAGCTCCAGGTGATGGTTCTGCTGCCGCTTCTGCTGCGCCCGCAGCTTCTTCAGCCCCGACGGCGGCTGCAGAAGCAGAAGCAGCAGCAGCAGCAGCAGCAGCAGCAGCAGCAGCAGCAAAGGAGCCACCTCGAAAGCGCGTGAAGGTGGAGGGCTCCGACGCAGCAGCAGCAGCAGGTTCGAAGCCTGCGGGGGAGCAGGCGGCAGCGCAGCAGCAAGAGCCGCGGCAGCCGCAAGACCCCCCGCAGCAGCAGCAGCAGCAGCAAGACCCGCAGCAGCAGCAGCAGCAGCAGCAGCAGCAGCAGCAGCAGGGGCGGCGCACTACGGGGGGCGGCCGCTACTTCCTCTCGGACGCGTTTCTGGGGGAAGGGACTTACGGCCGCGTGGAGCGGGCGTGGGACACTGTGCTGCAGCAGCACGTGGCCATAAAGAAGGTGAACTGCATCACCCCCAGCAGCAGCAGCAGCAGCAGCAGCAGCAGCAGCAGCAGCAGCAGCAGCGGGAACAAGCAGCTGCTGCGGCAGTGCGTGGGGCAGGTGGGGCTGCACTTCACGACAGTGCGGGAGCTGAAGGTGATGCGGGAGCTGCAGTGCGCGCGCGCGCCGCCGCCGCCGCAGCAGCAGCAGCAGCAGCAGCAGCAGCAGCAGCAGCAGCAGCAGCAGCAGCAGCAGCAGCACCTGATGGGGCTGCTCGACGTGTTCACGGAACAAGGCAGCATTTGTCTGGTGATGGAGGAAATGAAAGGAGACATCCGGAAGGCCCTGGGGGCCCGGCAGCAGCTGACAGAAGCTCAAGTCAAGTGCGTGCTGCAGCAGCTGCTGCAGGCCGTGCTGCAGCTGCACCGCCGCTATTTGCTGCACCGCGACATTTCGCCGGCCAACGTTTTTGTTGCTGCTGGCGGCGTCTGCAAGCTCGCGGACTTCGGGCTTTCCCGGGCCTTTGCTGCTGCTGCTCCCCCCGCAGCAGCAGCAGCACTCGCCCGCGCGCAGCAGCGCCACAGGGAGCGCAAGCAGCAGCAGCAGCAGCAGCAGCAGCAGCAGCAGCAGCAGAAGCAGCAGCAGCACGACGCGCGCCACCAGCCGCCCCCGCCCTCTCCCCACCAGCACCACCAGCACCACCAGCACCACCAGCACCACCAGCACCAGCAGCAGCACCAGCAGCAGCAGCAGCAGCAGCAGCAGCAGCAGCAGCAGCAGCTGCTGCTGCAGTCGCTGAGCAGCAAACGCGAACTCATGACCTCCAAAGTGGTCACTCTTTGGTACAGAGCCCCCGAGCTGCTGTGGGGCGCCGACAGATATGCAGACAAAGTGGACATGTGGAGCGTTGGCTGCATCTTCTACGAACTCATCACCGGTGCTGCTGCTGCTGCTGCTGCTGCTGCTGCTGCTGCTGCTGCTGCTGCTGATGCTGCTGATGCTGATGCGGGGGGTGGGGCTGTTGCTGCGGCTGCTGCGGGGGTTGTGGCGCTTGCTGCTGCTGACGTCTTTGGGGATGTTGCTGCTGCTGCTGCTGTTGTTGTTGCTGCTGCTGCCGTGGCTGTTGCTGCTGCTGCTGCGGCTGTGGCTGCTGCTGGTGCCGCTGCGGCTGCCTCTGCGGCGGTGGTTGCTGCTGCGGCTGTGGCAGCAGCTGCCGCTCTTCCTGTTGCTGCTGCTGTAATTGGGGGCGTTGCCGCTGTTGCTGCTGCGGCAGCTGTGGCTGCCGAGTCCTCACACGCTGCTGCTGCTGCTGCTGCTGCTGCTGCTGTTGCTGCTGCTGCTGCTGCTGCAGGCCGTGCTCTGTTTCCTGGGACAAATGATGTGGATCAGCTTTGCCGCATTTTTTCGCTTCTAGGGACCCCACAGCCTGCGCCGCTGCAGCAGCAGCAGCAGCAGCAGAGCAACAGCAGCAGCAGCAGCGGGAAGAATGCAGCAGCAGCAGCAGCAGGGACGCTGCCTCTGTGGCCCAATGTGGATGCGCTGCCTTCCTACTTCGGCTTTTCTGCTGTTGCAGCAAAGAACCTGAAGCAGCTGCTGCCCTTCAGCAGCAGCAGCAGCATCGACCTGCTGCTGCAGCTGCTGCAGCTGGACCCCAACAAACGCATTTCTGCTGCTGCTGCGCTGCAGCACAAATGGTTTAGAGATAGCCCTCCGCCTTGCAAGCCACACGAGCTGCCTTTTGACTTCCTGAAAACCTGAAGCAAAACCTGGCATTGGCAGCAGCAGCAGCAGCAGCAGCAGCAGCAGCTGCTGCTGCTGCTGCTGCGGCAGCTGCAGCAGCGCTCCTTTAGCTCTCTGTCCACAGCTACCCTTTTTGCTGCAAATCACGACCTAGCGGCAGCATCTGCTGCAGGAGCAGCATTTGCCGCAGCAGCAGCAGTTGCTGCAGTAGTTACTGCAGCAGCAGCTGCTGCAGCAGGTGGTGCAGCAGTACTCGTCGCAGCAACCACTGCTGTAGTTGCTGCAGCAGTAGCTGCTGCAGCGGCAGGTATTGGGGCAGCAGGTGCTGCAGCGGCAGGTGCTGCAGCAGGTGCTGCAGCAGGTGCTGCAGCAGGTGCTGCAGCAGGTGCTGCTATGTCCCTGGCGCTGCTGCTACGCAGCAGCTGCAGCTGCTGCTGCTTCTGCTTCTACCCGTTTCACCAACTGCAGCAGCAGCAGCAAAAACTGTACCCTTCAGCTCCGCAAACCCTAACTCCTTTTGCTAAACCCTAAACCCTAAAGTGGCTACGGCAGCAGCAGCAGACACTAAAAACAGCAACGGAATACGAGCACGCAGCGGTTGCTGCTGCTGCTGCTGCTGCTGCTGCTGCTGCTGCTGCTGCTTCCTAGCTATTTGTCTGTAGTCTCCCGATGCACTGCTATTAAGGGCTGCAAAAAACCCAGGGGAGTCCAGCAGGAGCAGCAGCAGCAGCTGCTGCTGCTGCTCCTACAGCAGCAGCAGCTGCTACTGTTGCTGCTGCTGCTGTTAAATTTGATGTTGCACTTGCTGCTGCTCAGAGCTGCAGCAGGCAGGCAGCCACAGAGCCCCCCTCAGAAATGTACCTGCTGCTGCTGCTGCAGCTTCTGCTGCTGCTGCTGCAGCTTCTGCTGCTGCTGTTGCTGCTGTCGCCTGCTGCGGTGGAGGGGCGGCTGGCGAGCAGCAGCAAAGACAGCGGAAGGAGCTGCTACGGTGAGTCTAATTCGTGGCAGCAGCAGCAGCAGCAGCAGCAGCGGGAGCTGCTGCTGCTGCAGCAGCAGCAGCTGGCGGCGCTGCTGCTGATCTGTATAGGGCGGAGATAAAATAAGAGCAGCACGAAGCTCCTTGCCCGTGCTGGAACAGCCCTTGCTGCTGCTGCTGCTGCTGCTGCTACTGCTGCTGCTACTGCTGCTGCTGGGTGCAGTGCCCGTACGCGTTTGCATCTACGGGGCCCGAGGGAGCAGCAGCAGCAGCAGCAGCAGCAGCAGCAGCAGGAGGCCGCGGGCGGCAGCGCTATTCGCTGCCGCTGCTGTCTTTGTCTCTGGCTGCAGCAGCAGCAGCAGCAGCAGCAGCAGCAGCACGGTCCGCCCCCAACTCCACGCCCACGGCGAAGTCCGAAGCCCCGCAGCTGCTGCAGCAAACGTAATCTCCGAATTTGCTGCCAGCAGATTCGACAGTGCCGCACTGGAGGCAGCGCAGCAGGTGCAGCCGGTCGAGTCTTGCTGCTGCTCTTTTGCGTTTTCTGCTGCTGCGGGGGCCCCTGCTGCTGCGCCTGCTGCTGCGGCGCCTGCTGCTGCAGCAGCAGCCAACGCCGACGACGCCCCCGACGGCTGCTGCTGCTGCTGCAGCTTGCACTGCAGCAGCAGCAAACTGCGCAGCTCCTCCGCGCCCAGCTGCGAAGCCAGCCGGTACAGCGGGCTGCAGTACGCGGAGTCTGCTGCAGCAGGAGCAGCAGCAGCAGCAGCAGCAACTTGACACAGGGGGCCCCCGTCTGACACAGGGGGGCCCAGGGGGGGCCCCAGGGGGGCCCCCACGGGGGCCCCCATCGAATGAGGAAGGTAGGGGTACACCCGAGCTACCGAACGAGGACGCGACACGCGGAGAGGCCCTGCTGCTGCACCTGCTGCTGCTGCTGCTGCTGCTGCTGCTGCTGCTGCTGCAGGGTGGTGCGCGGAAGGGATCAGCTGCTCGTCATTGCTGCTGTCTGTGGGGGCCCCTGGGGGCCCCCGCTGCCTAGACACCCGCGGAGCAAAGCGCCCCGCTGGGGGCTGCATGCTCAAATTCGTGAGCTTGGCTGCTGCAGCAGCAGCAGCAGCAGCAGCAAGTCCACGCTGCTGCTGCTGCTGCCGCGCAGCAGCGACCAAGGGCTTAAGGCTGCAACAGCTGAGCCTCCTGGAAACCCAGCGGAGGTATTTCAAGCAACTTCGGCAGCAGCGCTGCTGTTCCCGCCGCCGCTCTTCCTGCTGCTGCTGCTGCTGCTGCTGCTGCTGCTGCTGCTGCTGCTGGGGTGCCGGGGAGCCAAGGGGAAGCCAATAAACTCTAGGAAACCCTCCTCAATGCGAGCAAAAAGTAAAAACTGCCTTACAAGTCACTCTGGCTGCTGCTGGCGGTGCTTTTGCTGCCGCTTCAGCTGCGGCCGCTGCAGCTGCTGCTGCTGCTGCTGCTGCCCGTACACCCCAAGGGAACGCGCAGCGCCAACTCGAAGAGTTGCTGCATGCTCCGTTGAAAAGCAGCAAAGAAAGTACCTTGACAGCCTGCAGCACGCTGGCGCTGCAGACTTTGCTGCTGTTGCTGCTGGCGCCGCTGCTGCTGCTGCTGCTGCTGCTGCTGCTCCTGCTGCACCTGGGCGTGCTGCAGCAGCAGACAAGGGACGCCAGCAACAAGCACAGAACCAGATGGTAGAATAAAGAGTTTGTGAGGCTTAACAGCACCGGAGGGGCGGGGCAGCAGCACCAGCTCTGTTTTCTGCCCGCTGCTGCTGCTGCTGCTGCTGCTGCGCTGCACGGGTGCCGCAGCAGCAGCCGCTTAACTGCTGCTGCTCCGCCAGCAGCTGGCTGCTCCTTTCTCCTTTATAAATTCTCAAAAGGCTTAAAACCCTTGAGTGGAGTTCAAAATTCTAAGCCCTGAAGTAGTATTAAAGGCGCCGTGGATTTATCAGCAGCAGCAGCAGCAGCAGCAGCCGCAGCCGCAGAGAGCGCGCAGCCGATCCAGCAGCGCCAGCAGCAGGGGCTGCAGCAGCAGCAGCGGCAGCCACCGCTGCTGCTGCTGCTTCGCCCCAGTCCGTGCTGCTGCTGCAGCACAGCAGCCCTTTGCAGCAAAAAATAACTAAGCAGCAGCTCCCCTGGGGCCCCAGGAGGAGCTATTTGGGATTCGGGGGCCCCCCGGGCTGCCCAGCAAATCTTGCTGCGCTGCTGCTGCTGCTGCAGCACATAGGGGCAGGGGGGGCCCCCGGGGGGCCCCCTGGGGGCCCCCTGGGGGCCCCCTAGGGTCTTCCTGGGGGCCCCCGGGCCACGAGCTTCTGGGGCGGCTTGGGCGGTTTCAGGCGCAGCTGGAGCAGCAGCAGCTGCTGCGGCTTGCTGCTGCTGCAGCACCAGCAGATGATGGCTTGCTGCTGCTGCTGCTGCTGCTGCTGCTGCTGAGGGCAGGACAGGGGGCCCCTGGGGCCCCTGGGAGAGCAGTGACCTTGAGGCGTAATGGGCGGTGCTGCGCCCTTGGCTGTGTGCTGTAGGGAAATCCCCCTAAACCCTAAACCCTAATTTAGGGTTTAGGGATTTAGAGCCACCAGCAGGGTTCTCTGCAGTCCCGGGACCAAGAGTTGAATAGGAAAGCCGTTACGGGGGTAGGGTTTAGGGTTTAGGGCCCTCGGCGAGGCGCATGGCTGGCTAGGGTTTAGGGTTTAGGGTTTAGGGTTTAGGGTTGCTGCGAGCCTGAGTCCCTAGTGGCTGCGGGGCCCACACTTAAGGGGTCGTTGCGGATCGGGAGGCAGCAGCAGCAGCAGCAGCAGCAGCA